GAACTTTTCTAGTAGCTATTGCTTTTGGCCTTGAAATTATTCAAAAATTTTCAGCTTCCATATGCCATGTTTTAAGATATTTTGGGATCAATGATGTTAAAATCTATATTTTGGTAAATCAGGACTTCATGATGAATACATTATTCACAACTCATATTTATGCCTTCTAGATGGACTAAAAACTGAAATTATCATTAGGAAAATTTGCTAACTTTTACAAATTTAGTTAATTAAATATTTTCAATGTCTCTAAGGTAATATATATCATATTAGTTCACCTCTATTTTAATGATTTACTTCTTTTAATTGCTTGCCATCCAAAGAAACAGAGGACAAACCTTCAGATTCCTCAATGGCACTCTTTCTGCTCATTCCATTTATGTTTCTCAGACCATCCTGCCCCTTAGAATATGACTTCTGGTCAAAATCCAATGTTTGAAAGTAAGCCTAACAGAAGATCCGTTACACTGAAATACTACAATTATTTTTTAGAAATTCATGCTGGAAACTGGAATAGTTAAAACTTCATAAGGAAACTAATATTTAGAAACAAGACTTTACATTTTTAGCATTTAAAGATTTTTTTTTTCTAGTTGTTGGACTTTATAGGAAGAGAGAAATCAGAGGGTTTTTTTTTTTTTTATTTCTCTAAATAACTGATGTAGTAACAGTCACCAATATTCAAGCTTCTGGTGTTTACGGATTCACCCTATATCTCATTCCTAAGTTTTTGAAAGATTATAGTTGACATGTTTCTTGAACCAAAACTTCTGATAATTTTGTTCTTCATTTGAGATCGGTTTCATTCTTTTACCTGGTTATTATTATTCTTATTACCATTTTGTTCTTCATTTGAGATCAGTCCAATATGAGAATTTTGGTTATTGGAGGAGCTGGGTTCATTGGTTCTGTTTCCTACAATATCTTGAGTTAGACACATAACCTGTTCCTTTTGTACTCCTTTGGGTTTTGTTTGCACTATTGTTTATCTTAATTGGCACACTGAACATGTTAGGACTTGCCAAGCGAGTTGGAGCAAGGTTTAATTAATTCTGACCCCTCGCAATTATTTTGATTTATGCCATAGTTACAGTGCATATTTTCACTCCATGTTTGACAATCTTCCAACAGGGTTTTGTTGACCTTAACTTCAGAGATTTATAGGGACCCCCTTCAACATCCTCAGACTGAAACATACTGGGGCAATGTGAACCCTATTGGTATATTCATGTCTTATTTGTACCAAATAGTACTTCAATATTAGATATAATACATAGATGTCTTTACATGACAACCATTTCAAGGTTATTAATTTGGGATATATCTACCTTTTCAAAAAGAAAGCAGAAGAAAATCTTTTAATTCCATTATTCGATTCCTCTAAGCAAAACACAGTAATCTTTTAGCATTTCTTTTATAAAGTTTTCTTTGAGGGGGAAAACTACTACATTCTTTTCTATTTTTTTTATATATGTTTATTTTCTTAGTTTATGAAATATCATTTTGCATATTCCAGGGTTTTGAATACCAAGTTCTCTGAAAGTAATATATATTTGCATCCAGATACTGGATGCTGGAACTTTAAATTTCAAGTTCTCTTTTGCCAGAACTCAGAGCTTTCATTAATTATTTCTTTTTTCATTTTTATCATTTAAGCAATTTAGTGCTTACAACAATTGCTTGATATATATCTGCTAGGATGAGAAGATCATCTATTCTACTTTAACAGGGTGTTCTGTTAGGAGTCTGAGCAATCAGATGTGTATGAATTGATCTTATGACGATCCCTCAAATGGATTCCTCTTTTGCACTCTTGGCTTTCATGGGGATTGAACACACTCAGAGACACTATGGCATTAGGCGGTTGCTACTCACTCAAGAAGATCACTCATAACCACATTGTGACTAAATGGGACCATTGTCGACGTCTTTCTCATCTCCTTGTTAGTTCAGCTATACATACCAGCCCACAAAACTAAAGTTTCAAATGCTGTCAAAAAAAAAAAAAAAAAAGAATGAAACAAATTACAAGTTTATTTAATAGCTGAATGGGGAGAATAAATTTTAATTTGGATGAATGGGGAGAATAAATTTTTTGTATTTAATTTTTAATTTGGATGAATGAATGAAACAAATCACAAGTTTATTTAATAGCTGAGACTTATAACAAATTACAATCAAATTATTAATTATTTATAACAAACTCCAGTTATTTTGGCAGGTAAAAAAATTAGAGATTGCTTGGTTGCCACTATAAACATCTAGTGGCAGTCGGTGCACCCCTTTTGCGGGTAAAACCGCCGCTGAGAAATTGCCCTTTGGTGGCAGCTTTTAACTGCATCTTGATTTCTAGCAGCAGTTATTAATGTTTAGCGGCAGCTTGGCGATAGCCGGTAATACCTTTAGTGGCAGTTTTTAGGACTTTTAGCGGAATTGATAAAAGTCATTTTGCTGTAGTGAATTGATAATGACTATAAATTCGAATCCCAGCCTTACACACTCGATAAGTTAGTTATCACCAGAATTAAACTTTGAGACCCTAAATGATAACCCATTCATGCAGCCTCTGATTATTAGTTACATGTATTGTGTTAAACAACAAAAACCAATATTTGTGGAAGTCATGGATAGCATAGACCCTAGGTCCAGTTATTAAAAAAGAATATTTATTACCATGTTCAATGAGAGGTGGTTTTACTTTTACGCCTTCAAGCTCCTATCGGCAATCTCTCAGCCATGAGAATAAGATCCATCTATAAAGTGGCAAAATTGCATGCCACACAGACTCTAATATTTATTTGAACCCAATCCTCTGATCCAAAGAAATTAGTTTTTTTACCGATATCAACCCAACTAATCAAGCAACTTCTCACCAAAGCATGAACATATCAACATAAGTATGGTTTTTTGAACTCTATCACATTTGACATATCCATCAAAAACTATTCAATTGTAGGCTCTAATTTAACTAGATTAAAGTGATTCCTAAGTTTTTCAAGAAGTTTCAAGCAACAAAAAAGCAAAAACAATGTGTTCTTTACATATGGTCCCTCTCTTTTGTTCATTTACAGCATTTGTGCATTCAAATGGTAACTACATCAACTCATAATTATCGGTCCTCATCTGCAAGCAGCAAGTATAAAGTAAATTGAAAAAACATTAGAAAAAAATTAAAATATAAAATGATCATAAAAGGAAAGAAATAAAAAACAGTCATGGAAGCGGAATGGGATTGATAATTTGGCATAAGTGGGGGCGAAATAAGTGAGGAATTCCTCTCTTCTTGTTGCTCTAGAAAATGAGCTCCTCACTTGGGGTTTTGACAACCTATGGTTGGTTTTGGTGGCATGGCTATGCTATTTCCGGTATATAAGATGCTGAACCATTTCCTAATGCTGGAGCCTTAATTATCTTATTGGAAGCATAGAAGCTTGTAAAGAAAGTGTTGAAGATCAGAAGTCAGAAGAAGCATGGCACCCAACCATTTGATCAGAAAATCTTATATATTCCAAAAAAGAAAAACATTTGATTAACATATTGATGAACTCCCGAACTTGTGGGTGAGTTGCAACAAGTGGACAGCTGCCCAATACACTTGTCCAATTTCATGCAATCTGAGCCTATAACATATGTCTCAAATGTTAGATTCTCAATCTCATTGATTGAAATAACAAATTAAATAAGGGGTAGAATTGGAAAAAAGTCAAGATTTGTCGACCAAAACTAAGAGAAACATGCTCATTTTTATTAAAAAATATAAAAAATTAATAAAATGGTTATGGATTCTTAGAAAAGGAAACATATGACTATCAAAGACTTACAAAAGTCTCCCCGGTGATCTTATGAATGTACTTAGAGAATACTATCAAAGACTTCCTGTTTTAGTGTCTTTGTATTGGTTAATGGTCTTTTCTCTTTGTTTGGATGTATTATTTATTTTTAATTTGTTTTGTAAGGTGGATTGAGATGGTGACATTGTGTGATTTTTACTTAGGGTCCATTTGATTTGCAGTCAGAATCAGAATCAAAATTGAAATCCTTTAGAATTAGAATCTGAATGGTTTGTTCCCATAGTATGTTTGATTCAGATAGGAATGAGAATGAGAATTGGAATTATTAAGAATGAAATTTTATTCCTGAGAGGCAGAGAATGACCACTCAACCAAACAAAATTGAAATAGCCCATTCCAATTCCGATTCCAAATCCCTATTCCTGTAAACCAAACGGGGTTTTAGATTTTTGACTTTTTGCAGGAAGTTGTCCCTTTCTGCACCATTTGGGAGGGCTTGTAGTAGCTTTTAGTGTTATATGAGCTGAGAAACCTGACTCATGATGCCATATGTTTGGTAAGAAAACCCAGAAAATTAAAAATAGGTTTCCATGAGTCAAAAAAATTCGACTTTCCCGGTGAAGCAATCTTTCCTTTTTTGGTAAGGAAGATAATTCATTAACACAAAGAATATCTACAAGCTGGAAATAGACCACACAGCAAGAGGAAAAAAACAACACAGCAACAAAGAAAAAGAGAAAATAGAAATAGAAACCGACAGACCAACAAAGTAGTACAGTAGATCATTTCTAACTTTTCTTTAGACCAAATTTAGCCAACATATGGGCTACTTTGTTTGAATCTCCTGAACACCAAGTTACCAACTGAAACTAACAGACCTTCCAGAGTATTCTTCACCCACACCAGATAAAATTAACTGATAATTGTTTGACTCAAAAACGACCTTATCCAAACTGAAACGCACAACAAATAAAACAGCTTCAAGAAGAGCTTTTGCTTCAACTTCAAGGGGGGAGGAAGCACAAGAGAAGCCACACCCAGCTCCCGGTGAAGCTATCTTACATAGCTTCTCTGAAACTGAAACAGTTCAGTCTTTGCAGACCAAACGGGCTCTTAGGGGTTACAACTTAACAGTGTCGGTCTCCAAAAGGCCCGAAACGTCAAAAGGTATCGTATCGTCATTTTGTATGCCATATACGCGTTAAAACTTAACAGTTAAACTTCCGTTCCGCGTGAATTTCACCGGGAAAATGAGAAGTAAACCCAAGCCAAAGGAAACCTCCTGCACTTAAAATATGTTAATGGAGCAGAACTCGAAAAAGTGGTACCGTCCCCTCTCCTCCTCCATATCCTTTCTCTTTCGTCATTTTTTTTAAATTAAATTTTTGATCGCAAAAGTGGTTCAACTTTCCCTATCTCTCTCTGTATCCGGTTTCATCATCAATTAAAGTAAGTGGGTCGTCCGTCCCTCGCTGGAAGAGTCTCGTTCTCGGCTCCCTTCGCTGTACGTTCTCTCGAGATCCCTGCCGATCACAACCTACATACAGCCAGGTCAGATATCTTATTCACCGCCCCTCCCTTTTCGATTCTTATTCTTTGCGCTTTTGCTTTTCGTCCTATATCTTTACTTTTTTGGATCTGTTTTTGCTGTGTCTTTGAGGTTCTTTGATACCCATTTTCTTTCTTTTTCGAACACCCTTTGCAGCATTGATTATAATTTGAGTCCTTTCTCCCGTCTTCCCCATCTGGGTATGTCTGTCTTGGCCTGATTTGCAGACCTTTTTCTAGATAAGCAGGACATACGAGTAGATGAACCGTCTTTTGAGTGGGTTCTTATCGAATAATTCATGAAAGCAGGGATTTTGATATGTTCTTGTTTTACTTGGTGAGAGTGGTTTGGATCCCCAACTGTCATTGACTCTGATTTTTAATTTTACTGTGTAGGACATGGCTGACGACGCCAAAGAGGGTCGAGCTTCTGGGGAAAACAATGCAGTGTCCAATGATACAAAGAAAGGGGGAGAGACTATCAAGAAGCAACGAAGAGGAATACTTTCTCGGGTTTGGGGTGGAATTTTTAGAATACGAGGGGAGGATTTTGAGAAGAGATTGGAACATATATCCAAAGAAGAAACTTCTGTCCTTGCAAGGATGAAGAGGAGATCTCATAGTTGGCGGAGGACGGCGAGGAATATTATCGTTTTCTCTGTGGTTCTTGAGGTAAGACTTTTTGGCGCCTTATGTGCCTAATTCTGTAAGGATGGCATATTTTGTCAAGTTAATGGATCTGTGATACTATTCCTGATCATGATATTTCACCATGACAGAACACCCTTACTATCTTTCAACTTTGTATATAGTTTGACATTTTGTTGACTTGATGTAGATGGGGAATGGGATATAATGGACTGCAGTAAAATTTTACTTGTTCTTTCTTGTACCTGCTCAGAAGACATATATGAAAGAGAAAGATGATAAAAGAACTGGATAAGGGCAATCCGTTTTGTCAGAAGTACAAATAAATCCTTTTATTGTAGATTTTGGAAACTATGTGGCTGCAGGTAGCAGCCATGTTCTGTAATATGAAGTAAAATGGAGAAAGTTAACCACTTATGAACTACAATTTGGAAGTAGTAGTGCAGGAAATTGATTGAAAGACATCATCCTTAGTTATGATATGTTGATGATATAGATGTGACTTACAAGATTTGTCAGGGACTTGAGGTGTTAGATATGGAAAAAGTCTAGAAATGTGGACAAGGCCATGCATATGCATAGACAAATAATCAGTCAGACTTGTAGTTAGGTTTATCTGTTACATTAGTGCTTTTGAATTTTATGTTTCCAAATCTAAAAGAAAAATAATCCCAATATGAATTGCATAGTATGTTGTTATGTACATTTGAGAAAGATAGACACATCTATCTATGTTTGACCTTGTTTCCAACATGTGGAATGTGTTAAGTTTTACCAAAAAAAAGGAATGTGTGTTAAGTGGCAGTATATCTCTGTCAAAGGCAACATTCTAGTAGGAAGAAACTTAAAGATTGTGGACCTTTTGTTTGATGTATATCTGTTAGTTAAGGAAAAATAAAGATCATGGAACTCCTAACCAAGGTCTATATACAACTTTTTAACTGTAGTTGCAATTTTTTATTTTTTAAGCAATATGAATGCTGAATCAGGGCTCCAGATTTACTTTTATTCAAACATTAGAGCTATTGTTAAGATCATTACAAGGGTAGAAAATATTATTTTTTGAATATAAAATGGTAGAAAATATCCTTAGGAATAAGGTGGGAGCTAGGTGGCACAAAATGAACCACCCAAGCAATTGATATAAGAAAGTAAAGAGAAAGCAAATATAAGATAAGGAAGATGGCAGATGGGAGCACCTTCCATCACGGAAGAGAATTTTTTGTGGAAAAATAGAGATTATATGTTCACTTATCAAGGGCAGAGGAAGACTGAGCCTGAATGCTTGAGACACAGGGAAGCTTTCAAGTTTTCTCTCTCCTGCCCATGGAAACCATTGATGCTATTCTCCTCTGTTCTCTGTTTCTCTCGGTTCATTATATTGGATGTGGTGTTTTCTCTAGAATAAGATTTTGGTAAGACCTTTTTTATTTTGGGGGGGGGGGAATTCATTCGCTTTGTGCACTTCGTCTATCTGAATCTCCTCCCCTTCTCGAATGAACTCTTCCTCTGAATCCTTGCTCTCTTATCCACCAGCCTCATTGTTGCGATTCTCGTCCAAACTCATACTCATAGTTTTCAAGGTGCCAAGGTGAGGCTAGGTTACAGGGGGGTGCCTTGTTGCTTAGCCACACAGGCGATGGATCTTATTAAATAAAACAAATGAATCCCAAGGTAATTCCCTAGGTTCCATGGCAACCACTGACCATCTTTCACCAGTAATTATTCAATAAAAACCATGAATCCTAGGGTAATTCCATAGGTTTCATAGACAAGATGGTTGGTTCAGATGTTCTATGTTTCTAGGAGAGGAAAGATTCATGCAACTAAAGAACTCACTGCATCAAACTGCTTTATTAGCAGCAGATTGCAAATATTCTGCAACCGTTGGTATAGAAGGAAACTCTAACTTCTCTTGATCCTCAGGTTCCATCAAGTCTAGTCTTTGAGAATTGCAAGAATAGCTTCCTATTTGGATGGAGGAAGCACAACCATTGCAGGAGGTATTACTGACTCCATTGAGCCTTCAACTCCTTGGTTTGGTGAAGAAGCAAAGCAACACTTGAGGAATTAAAGCTCTCTTGTTACCTTTTCTTCTATCTACCTTAAATCCCCAACCTCGAAATTCCTTTTAATCTGAAAACCTCAATGTTCTGCTTGATTCAACTATTCTAGGTCTACACTATGCATGAAGAGTTACCCCAAACTCATCTGATAGGGATTGCACAGCAGACATCAAGATTTAAAGAAGAAAAACAGAAGTGCCAATAATTCTACGGCTTAAGAAATAGTGGTGTTAGAAGTGTTTTAGGAGAGTGTTGTACAGCAAGGTTGTTTAGTTGCATAGCTGTTAGGAGTCATTGTTTTCTGTTTTCAGTTGGTATTCCTAAGTGAAGTAAGAGTAGGCTTCCTAGTTGGAGAACCATTTGCTTTTTTATGTCATAAATATTGGTCTATTGGTTGTTTCTCAAGACAGAGTGAATAAATTTTTTCTTTTGATAAAAGGTAAGGTAAAACTTTTTCAAATGAGCCTGAAATGGCAGATTACAACCAAGGCCCCCAAGACAAGGAGCCAAACACAATTTAACATCTACAACCAAGGCCTAAGGTAAAATACAGAAGTTTGTTTCTTTGTGTAGATGTGTGATGCTTCCTATGTTAGGGTGAGGCCTAAACCCGCTATGAGTGATTCCTAGATTTCTTTCTCTTTAAAGTTTTCTGCTGTGCTACATCACCATTATTTTGATTTTTGCATATTTATTGTGATGCTTGATGGCTTCCACAAATGAACCTCATCTTCTGAGTTGAAGTATAACATCATTTTAGCACCTTCAATATGGCTGAAAATCTCCAGAGCCTCAACTTCTAAAGAAATGATGAAAAGAAAATTGGAAGGATAAGTAGAAAGTGGAGGCATGGTTCAAAGTATCAATACGCCTCTGTGTATCGGCAGAGGCGTATCGGTACTTAGATACACACGGAATTTTTTTTAGTTTTTTATTCAAAATTTGGTTTTTGGGGAGTTAAAAAAAGAGTATTTTTTTATTAGAAAAGAGTGGGGTCCCGAAACACCTGTAAATGGGCGTATTGGGACCCAAAAGATATGATACGATACGCCCGATACAGGGCGTATTGTATCGATTTTTTGAACCTTGAGTGGAGGTTAATATTCTCATGATTTATGAAATAATGAATTAATAATTTTATGAGAACGGTTTGCTTGGATTGTTGAAATTAATGGCTTAATATGCTATTGTCTTATAGGTTTATGTCTTGGTGTTCCTTGATATGTTAATATCATTATTTTTTTTTATAAAATCCATTGCTATTTCTTCATTTTTGTACTTGCTCATTTCTATCTCAACTAGGAGAACAACCTAGAAATGTAGATTTTTAGTCATTCAGATTCATAACCTAGATAATGCCTAGGGTATGAGGCGCCCTACTCCACCTTGCTATCACTACAACAATGTTTTGGTCTTAGATTTACAATATTTGGAAATTGTTCATCTGTATCACTTAGTGTCTGTTTTAATGAGACAATTTTCTTCCTAACGGTGAGCACAGTAGAATTTTGTGCATGGAGTCCTACTGGGTTCCCCCCTCCCCCACAATACACACACAAAAGAAAAAAAAAAAAGAAAAACTTGTCCATGAAGAAATGATTCATAAGAAGATTAGCACCTCTGGCATGAATTAGAGGAGAGACCAATTGTTAAATCACTCTTATTCTTGCATCTAGATTTTCCAAATAGGGACTTTATAAGTGTCTTTTTATATATTGCCATGTCTTCTGTTTTTTGGCTCCTTGCTTATGACATGGTTTACTCAGAATTGTGGCTTCCCTTGGAAATTGATGTAGAAAGCTTTCTTTGAAGCATTTGGCAAGAAAGGGAGATCTTACAGACGGATCTACTCTCATTCCATCTTGGAGATTGTTGATCTTATTGATGTCGGAATTGCACATTAGAGGGATCACAGTTGATTCTATAATGTGGTATTGGATATATATATATCACTAGATACTAAGTTTTTGTTGGTCTTTAGTATTTGCTTTTTAGGAAGTCAATGAATGTTTGCCATAAAACATGGGTCATTCTGACACTACTGGTACTGTCAAGAATACTGGTGGAGTTTCTCATACTGTTAGATCATTTTGTAGTATCCTGGTCTAATTGGTATTGGGGTCTCAACTTTCAAGTTCATCTATGTTAACAGGGTGGATAAGGGAGCATCTCCAGTGGGTCCTGGGTTCTCATGAGTGTAATATCATCTTGTAGTATTCTGGTCCAATTGCCATTGGAGTTTCAATTAGATCTTTGATGATGCCCCTTGTTCAAGGATTCAACTTTCAAGTTTATCCATGCCAACAGGGTGGAAACTCTCTTGGTAGACTGCAGCTGATGGGTGGCCCTTGAATGGATAAGGGAGATCTTCAGTCAGTCCTGGGTTCTCCATTGCATTTGAGAGGGTCCTTTATTGGTGTTCATGTTGGATAGCTTGTTATCCCCCAGGATAGTCCTGGCTTGTGGATGCCCCAGGGCAGTTCATTTTTCATCCTTGGGATAATCATATTGTATACTCAGGGCTTCTTTATTCTGTACTTTCTTTTGATCTTCAAATATATTTGTTCATTGTTGATCGGAAAAATGAGACTGGATCTCTTGAAAGATAGCACTCTGTAAATACTCTGAAAGCATGGCATCCAGCTACACATCGGAAACATATCCTCACAAATTTAACATACATGATATGTGTATGGGAGATATTCCTGATGTCTGGTTGGATGCCGTGCTCTGAGATTTTTTCTTTTGGGAGATCCAGTCTTGAAAAAAAAAGAGCCATCGCACTTAGGGGATACATTGGATAAACCCTTGGGCTCTTTTCGTTTATCTTTATTTGACCTTTAGAGTCTATTCTTGCTTGAGGACACCTATGGTGCCTTAGTAAATACATATTTTGTGTAGAAAATTTAATTTACTTGGGAGCAGTCTACTTACTACAGTTGCATTTTGCAGGTTGTTGCAGTGAGTTATGCCATCATGACAACTAGAGCACTTGATTTAAACTGGAAGATGAGGGCACTTCGGGTTTTGCCGATGTTTCTTTTGCCTGCTTTATCTTTTCTTGTTTATTCAACACTTGTAAACTTCACAAGAATGCGTAAATATCTTATTCTCTAAACCTTACATGGTTTTGTCCTTTTATGATTAGATTTTTTTCAGTTGTAGCTCATTTTCTTCTGTAAACTGACTTATTAAATCTGTTTCAAATGATCCACATACTTTTAGTTTTTCCTTGTAATTTGTTCTTATTATTACTTAATATGGATAGTAGTTCTGTCATACCTTTTAGAATACTCAATGGTTAGCCTTTTGATTTCGATGCTTATAACTTTTGTTTCTTTTAGGAGCATTTTGATTTTGTTTTGATTAGTAACTTCTTTGTTTCTTTCTTAGGTGAAAAGCATGAACATTGCAGTTTTTGAACCATTGGCTGTTCTGTGGAAAGATATTCTGCATTTGGTGATTAAATGCATCTAGTTTCTCTTGGATAGTAGTATATTGTGGTGCTTTTGAAAGATTTGTGTATCTCATTACCAATCATCTACAATTTTTTTGGGTAAATTGCTGAAACCTCCCCTGAAGTTTAGTAATTGAAATCACCTCCCTTCAATTTTCTCATATTGTTGCAAGTAGAAATTCTCTATTAAAATCCTCTAATAAGAGGCATAGAAATGTCCAAAATACCCATGCAGTTACTATTGAGGCTGATTTCTACAGGAAAACAATACAAACTTCATGAACAACAAAAAAAGAGAATTTAAAGTTGTAGTTTTGCCTTTGAGCGATTGATATGTAGGGCAAACTTGGAAAATTCTAACAGAGGGGGTTTTGCAACTATATGAGAAATTTCAGGGAGGTGATTACAATTACTAAACTTCAGGGGAGGTTTCAACAATTTATCCTTTTTTTCCACAAAATTATTGGCTTTCCATGGAGGCATAGATACAAATTACTTTTTGTATGGATTCCTGGTTTCGACAGCACACCTAGAACCTTATATTTCATACTATGCATATCTGCAGTTGATAGGAAGGACCAGAAAACCCTTGAAAGGCTGCGTGCTGAAAGACAAGCAAAAATTGATGAACTTAAAGAGAGGACAAACTACTATACAACACAACAGCTCATTCAGGTGATGAAAAGAAGCATCATCTCTACATAACCACTGCAGTCTCTATTTTGATATTATGCTTATGCTAGTATCTTTTCAAATTATCTAGTATTTTGGAAATGCATAAATGTGTCTTCTGTATGGGGTGTTTACTGAAAGCCATTGTCAGTGCAGAGATATGACCCTGACCCGGCAGCAAAAGCAGCAGCTGCTACAGTTCTTGCGTCGAAGTTGGGTGCAGATTCAGGCTTGAAGTTATATGTTGGGGATAGTGAGTCCAAGATCAATGTTGCATCAGTATCCAGCAACGATATTGAACTTGTGCAATCTAGTGGGCTTCGAAATCGGAAAAAACCTCAAGTGAGATCTGGCAGTGCAGTAAGCATGATGATGAATCAACCCATTGATGAAACACAGCATGACTTGGGGGTTGCTGGTGCTGAGAGTCCCATGCAGAATCAAATGGTTGTTCAACACCACCCAAGATCAACCATGCAAGATGGAGGATGGATTGCTCGAATTGCGGCCTTGCTTGTGGGAGAGGATCCAACACAGTCTTACGCACTTATATGTGGTAACTGCCATATGCACAATGGTGAGTTGCTGGCATCCTTTGGTCTCAGTTTCTCCACTTTTTCTCCTTTTCTAGTACTTGGGTTCAGTCTAACAGGGGTCCCCTTACACTTGTGTAAATAATACCCATAAATATCAGAATACACATGTGATGTGAGGACGCCTTTCAGATACTGAATAGAAAATGTAGGAGATCTGGATCCCCCTTCCTTGTCAGGACACTTGGGACTGTTTCTTAGATGAAAAATATTATTTGACAGTTATTTGAATGATCCATATCCATTTACTGCAGGGCTGGCCAGGAAAGAAGATTTCCCATACATAACTTATTACTGCCCGCATTGCCATGCATTAAATAGGTCAGCAGAACAGAAAGAGCATGATAATGGCTCCAGCTCCACCAACATAAGCTCCCCAACAACCCCAACTAGTGGTGATGTAGTTAAGAGTGTCAACAGTGCCACAACAGAAAGCAAACTTATGACGAGCGAGCAAACAGTCGCTGTACCGACAGCTGAAGGGAGTGAAACCAAAGCACATGGGGATGAAGTTAATTAAAGACAGTTTTGTATATTTGCACTTTGAAAAAACTTGCCTTTGCCTTTTCCCTTTCTTCTTTTTGCTAGATATTAGACTAGTATGATATGTTAGGTCTAGTACTTTCCTTTCTTGTTTGTGTCACTTAAAGTCACTTGACATTTTATACGATATGAGCCATATACATTACACAGTGTTCACTTGTCAGTAACTTCTCGTTTGTAAGAGTGGGGAGTTAATTTTGTAGGAGGAATTAGACTTTTTCTTCTCTGTTTTTTATTGTTTGTTTTTTGAAAAATTACCTGAAAAGAATGATGGTGCCAAATGTAACTTTTAAGATTAATTTTCCTATTGTCTTGCTTTTAAGGGTTTACCCAATACGGCAGTATCCATTCTCTTCTGATATACTTGTCGTCTCAAAATCCCCCAATCCTTTTTCCTCCACTCCGTCGGCTATGGATACGATACTGATACTTGTCAAGTCAATAAATTTACGGAGAAGTAGGGGCAGGCCCATTGCAGAATTCTGATTTCTACACTTTGACATTCAACTTCATTGTTTCCCTTAGTTGATCCTAAACATGGTTGTTCAAAGTATCAATATGCACAATGAACAAACATTGGATATTTCTTCTATCAAGGATCAAAATTCCGCTATGTATCGGTCGATATATGTATCATATCGGAGCCTTCTCGATATGCCCCTATAAGGGGTGTTTCAGGTTGGCAAGTGGTTCAGAGGGTAAACTGGCCTTAAATCGGCCTTTCTAAACCAGTTTTGAAAAAAAAAAAAAAAAAACAATGATATGCCCTATCAAAAAAAAGAAAAACAATATCAATGCCGGCATATTAGCCTACATTGATATTTTGAACCCGTTAGTATGTTAGGTTTGTTCTTTGAGAAGAATCTAGGCATACAAATGTATAGTTTGGTTGAAATTGGACCAAATCTGGATGAAAAAAATTGATTCATTATTTTTCTTTCGATTTTGAGGAATATGAAGCAAAGGCACTTGGCAAACCCGATTCAGCCCACATTCTCCAAATAATTACCTATCCCGATGTCCCTCTCGTAATTTATTTCCACAGCAGAGGTTTCATCCTCCACAACAGTGCATCTCTACCATTCTTGCACTCATGTCCTCACGTAGCCACTAGTTCGGTGGCTTGGAGTAGTGGAGTTGGTTGTTGAGACTGATGTCAAACAAATGGAAGAGAGAGAGGAAGAAGAAGAGAAAGGGTGTTGCCATTAGTGCTATGTTTTAGTCACTGCCTTTGCTCGGATCACTTGCATTTAAACGAGATGACGATGGTAAGTAGCGGCACTTGTAGGCTTATAGCAACGGAGAGAGAGATGCTTACCTGTATGGAATAAGCGAGAAGAGGTCGAGGAATTTCACCTAGTGGGAGAGAATAGAGTTTGCCCCCAAAATGTTGACATTTTGGTTCGTAATTTGCTTGGAAAAAACAAAGATCGAAACCCAACCTGCCATTGGGCTGGGCCCGGGCCAGAGCCCTTAGCAAGTTTAGCAATAGATATGCTAATTCTAAGCCAGCCCCAGTCCGGCCTATCAAAATTGGATCTAATTCATTGTCGCAAGCAAAACCCAATTAAGGGTAGTGCTGACGTAATCATAGACACTACCGTTAGAAGTTAGAACCGAATCGGAGAGAAATATATCTCACATTATAAAATTCACAACCATGTGAGCTCATTGATGCAGCCGCCAACTTATGAGGAAGTCTCAGCAGTTGTGAAGCATATGCACCCCCCATAAAGCCCTAGGCCCAACTTTCTTCTACCAATAATACTAGAGTACAATAGGAAATGATATCTACAGCATGGTGTGTCATTTCTTCAATTATGAGCTTTTACCAAAGGAGATAAATAATACTAGGTTTTTGTTCCAAAAAACACCCAACCAATGGATGCAACTAGTTATAGGTCGATTAGCCTTTGCAACGTGCTCTACAAGATCATTTCCAAATGGCTAGTCATGAGATTACAACCAGTGTTACAGGAGATTATCTCATCATTTCAGACAAGTTTTCTAAACTCTTAAGGAGCGGCAAATTATCGACAACATTCTTGTAGTAAGGGAAGTTGCTCATATGATGAAAGCTCAGAAAAGAGGTAAGGGATACATAGCCCTCAAGGTTGACATGTCGAAAGCTTTTGATAGAATGGGGTGGGAATTTTTACAAGAGACTCTTCATAAAATGAATTTTCSTAGTAAATGGTGCAATCTAATACATCAATGCATCTTCACTCCCTCTTTTTCCATCAAATTAGGAGGTGAAGCACATGACCACTTTCATCTCAAAAGGGGCCTTCATCAAGGAGACTCACTCTCCCCTTATTTATTTATTATCAGCATAGAGGTTCTCTCCCAATTGTTAAACAATGCAGCTACTTCAGGTCTCATAGAAGGTATCAAATTATGTCGTGATGGCACACCTATCACACATCTTTTCTTTGCTAATGACTGCATACTTTTCTGTAAAGTTGATCTACCACAAATCAAGGCCCTCAGAGAAATACTTCATAATTTTGAGAAGATATCAGGACAGAGAATCAATTATGGGAAATCAAACTTGATGTTTAGCAGAAATGTACCGCGTCAGCATCAAAAGTTCTACTCAAAAGTTCTCAAGGTGAGTAAATCCRTGTGGGGCACTAAATATTTAGGTTCTAGAGTGGAACTAAATGCCAAAAATCAGCTTTCCAATAAAGAATTCCTGGGTTGCATACACTCTAGAATTAATTCATGGAGCTCAAAGCTACTCTCTCAAGCGGGAAGAACCACACTAGTGAAATCAGTCATACAATCCATTCGAAACTATTCAATGGCATCTATGATTCTTCCTAATACATTTCATACCCAATATGATAAGTTCATAAGGGACTTTTGGTGGCGAGCTGAATCACATAGTGTTAAACACACTATCTTATGGCAAAAATTATGTCTTCCTAAAGCAACTGGAGGATTAGGTTTAGGAAGAGTCTTCTAATGAATAGAGCTATGTTCAGCAACAGAGTAGTATATGGTGCAAATTAGTTAAGGAAAAATATTTTTCTAAATGCAATCCCTTCATGGCAAAGAAAGGGCAGCAAAGCTCTAAATGGTGGAAACAAGCTCACAGTTTATTAGCTGATTTAAAGCCAAATCTACTATGGATTGTAATGGATGGCTCATCCATATCAGCTTTTAATGATCCTTGGGTATCAACTATTCCAAGTGGAATACCGAYACCAAGTCCTACATGTGAGTCACACACCTTGAAACCGAAGGTAGTAGACCTTCTAAGTGGGGAAGGTACATGGGATCTAAGAGTCCTACAACAATTCTTTGATGAGGCTACTTTGAGTCACATCACACAAATAAGACCTCAAATAGATCTAGAAAGGGATCAATTGATTTGGAAAAGAACCAATTCTGGGGTTTTTGCAGTCAAATCTGTGTATAAAAGTTTTCTCTCTTTATTGCCTTCCCCTTCAGCCCCTCGCTTCAATTGGAATCTGCTTTGGAAGCTTAAGATCCCTTATAGATGCCAAGTTTTTGTTTGGAAAGCGTTATGGGGTGGTGTATTAACAAAGGACAAGTGTGCTAAATGGCTATCTCCACATGATCAAATTTGCTGTTTTTGCTTACAACAGCAAGAAACTTTTCATCATGTCCTTATGCTAGGGCTGTTTGGTGTGAAGCACAGATTGGGATCAATCTAGACGCAATGGTGACGCAACCTCTTTAAAATTCTGTGTAGTGGTTTACATAATATGGCAAGCACGCAACAAGAAAATATTTGATGGAGTTGAGATGATGCCTTCTGATATAATAAGCAAAGCCAAATACTATCTCTTCGGTGATAACAATCAATTGGCAAGGGGTATGCAAGCACAACGCATTAACATGATTGGAGTAGGGAATTGTGCTACTCTTCACATAGATGGATCATTTGACCCAAACACAGGTGCTGCAGGACATGCTTTCGTTCTTCAAGACACCGGTAGAAACCTCACAATAGCAGAAGGCAGAAGTTGTTGGGCCGTAGAAAGTTATGATGCGGAGCTTCGTGCCTTAACTAGTGGTCTAGAAGCAGCCTCAACAGCCAATGTGATATAACAATATACTCTGATTGCCAAAAACTGGTTAATCTCTTCACAATTCACACCAGACCAAGTTCATGGGTAGAATAGATGCACTGGGCTCACATCCGGAAGCTACTGCTTAGTTTCCAATCATTCTCAATTATTCATGTAAATAGACAGTTAAATCCAATGGCCCATCTTTTTGCTTATTTTGCTTGTAAGGGTAAAGTGCATATCATTCTACTACCCAAAACCATGCAAAAAAAACCCAATTAGCAATTTCCATTCCTACAATCTCTCTCTCTCGGCTTTTACTGTCACTTCAGTCTCTGTTGCTACCTCCGCAAGTCGATCTTTTGGTGCTGAAGGCTTGTTCAACCCGAATAGAGCATTCAATTTGATAATCTGAATACCTGTGAGTCCTTTTTCTTTTTCTTTTTTCCTTCCTGTTATTTATGATTATTATTTTTGTAGTTCTGATTAATTTTGGTGAAAACCTCTAAGTTAGTATAATGTAATAAAAGTTGTGTTTTCGTTCTTGCATTAAAACTTCCTTTGTGTCTCCAACCTCGAACAAATTTAGGGCTTTTAGTTTTGGTTGCGGCACTAGTCAAAGAAGAGGCCCAGAACCAAGAAACTTAGTTGTCTTCGCCTTTCCATTTTTTTGCTTCTTTATTCATCAAATCTTTTTGGTTTTTGAGTTGTCTGTGGTCATCGTAAAGAACTCTTGGGTTTGGAGATGGGAATCTAAGATCTGGAGGAAACGTCTATATGGATTTCCAAGAGATTTTCAATTTCGAAGCAGATTTCAAGCTGGTGAAGACATTGTTGCAGAGGCTTAGCAACTAGCGAGGCGCCCTCATTGAGTTAAATTTCTTTTCGGGTTTCAGATTCGGACATTTAGTCTCACCATAAAGTATGAAATTCTGTAAGAAAATTAATTTTAGATGTTGGGTTTTGGAGATGCAGAGATTTCATTGGTCTTGATGGGGCTTTTCTTTCTGACAAGTGACGAGTAGATAGAGGATTTTGCAATTTCTGATTTGGGTTAGAGAAAATGTTGAAAATAGCAATTTGAGGCTTTATTAATGATACCAATATTCTTTTCCAGTGATGTTATTGGTTTTGAGATTTATTTTGTAGTTGGCTCCTTTTGTCTGAGACTCTGAGTTGAGATATAACCAATGCTCTGATAGTGTTTAGGAGTAGCTGGTAAGGATGATTTATAACGAAGGATTTATAGAGAATTGAATTGCCAA